TGTGATGCCCATTTAAATTCTATTATTTATTTGGTGATTTTGAAAAAGAGCTTGAGTGCTAAGCTCATTGCAAAATATTATGCACTGATTTAACAATCAGTTAATAGATAAAATCATATATTAAAAATATAAGGAAAAGGTTAAATAATGGAAATTAATTATTTGTTAGTAAATAAATTGTTTGAAGAGTTATTTCTGGTTCAAAGGTCTAATCACATGGGTTGAAAGTCAGAGCTTAGAAATGAAACCATGCGCAGATGCTCCATAATCATGAAAATGCACTCAGCATATGCTCAGGGGCAAGTTAATCAAATATGTGTCAAATATTTCATGCCCTCTAGTGCCAGAAAGAGGTACCTCTTCTTCAGCACACAACAAACAAAACACTTTATCAATAGTCTGGTCTAGAGGTGACTCCAAGATTTTTGCATACATAAATCAAAGGACTTTAATCCAATCTCTAGTACAAGGTCAAGTTGACAAGATGTTACCCATTATAACTTGGTGCTTATGCTTTACATGCAGAAAGTTCCAAATTAAATCTTTAATATCTCCAAGTAAGGCAGGAAGAACTCTTGGAAAAAAAAACAGTTCCCTAAACACTGGCAGTACAGGACTAGCTAGACCAGGAATAGATATAAATAATTTGTCTATGTATTATAAAAGAATATAATCATGATGAATAATAAAACAAATACGAGGCAAGTAATCTAGATAGTCAATTATGTAATCTTAGAATCATCAGTTGCCCTAATAATAACCCAAAAGCAAACATTGTGAAATTTAAGTTGCATAGAACCAATTGTGTGACTTTTGATGAAAAAGAATTGAGATCTCAAATGAAATCCCCTAATTTGATTAGAGATGCTTGAGAATTATTACCCAAGATAAATAATAAGTGCATAATATAAATACATGGTAAAAATTTTTGAAATTATAACCTGTAAGGGGTAAGGATGTTGAGTGGTGGTGGCTGTTCACATGTATCGTAAGTTTCTTGCAAAGGGATTGGAAGACTCTTGCGGTCAAAGAGCTGCTGATCTTGAGTTGTGGAACTTCGGAAAGCTTTTCTCATTGTTATATCTTGCAGTGAAACTGAAGAGAAGATCAGTATTTATACAGTTAGTGAGTTATTAATCTCTAGCATTCAGAGATGGTTATACTTTACTTGAAAGTTTGTACTTCGTAAGAAAAAACAGGACATAGAAACTGTTAGCTCATTAAAAATTAAGGTTGTGCAAAGCATCTGAAGGGCATTTCGCAAACATCCCCCCTAGAAGCATTAAAACGGCCACATCCTCTGGAAGCTCACTGTGCATAGGTCAAAGGCTTTCCCTAATTGCTTCGGTATGTCTGTGCATATCCAATTGCTTCATTTCACTGCCATTTCAGAAGTTTTATGCATGTGTACAAATACCTGGGAAAGCTTTCAAAGCAGCTATGTCAAGCCTTCTGGAAGATGTGTCTCCTTTAATGCTTCAAGGAGAAGAATGTCAAACTCACAACAACATGCTTTGCAGGGCAACTCCTCTGAATGCTTCTACACAGTCAATTAAAACGATAATTATAATTCTGTAAAGTGGAGGATTCTGAATTCAATACACCTAGTGGGATTATAACCATTCTGAAATTAGAACTAAGGTTGCTATGACAAGAAAAATTGAGCAATTAAAATTGGAAATAAACAGCTTAACAGGAATTGTAGAATAAGACAATAAAGGCAAGATTTAAAAAATCTAAAAGAAAAAAAAAGATGTTGCAGATTTTCTGACTGTGGTCTGAATTTGCTAAGTAGCTGCCACAACTTTAGTAAGTTATTTTTCTGCAACATTTTGTTTGAGTTTAACATGTAAGACTATTGGCATCCATAATTTTTCCCAAATTGTTTCTTCAAAGCTGAGCAGAGTGGATTCTTTATAATGGCATGCATTTTGCTGATGAAGAAATCTTCCAAATGAATAATTAACTACAAGCAACAAAAGAATAATATAATGGGGGGGGAAAAGCATGTATGTGCTACTAGGTAATTTATCAACCATGCTCCTGTTCAGCTTACATCTAATATTGTCTATAAATTCAGGTAGTTAACAAAATTGAGCATATATTTCTACTGCCTATCATTTATTCAATTGAATTTAATTAATAATATGTATGTATTAATCTATAACTGCATATTTAATGAAACTGAATGAAACTGATTACTTTCTGTGAAGGCAATTTTCTGTAGGGCATTTGGTTTTATCTGAAGGGAACTAGTAAATTGGGCTTCTTCAACTAGTGTCCCATCGGCAGACCATACTGGCTAGGTATGACAGAAGTTATAGTTCAACACATCCAAAAGAACATCATATTGGAAAGGTTATGATAGCTGGTTGGACTAAAGTACTTCTAATGCTTTCAATCTCTGAATTTATTGATTCTAAAACTCTTAACTGAAAATGCCATACATTCCTAAGAGAGCAGATGGATTAAAATAGTCCTGGGTTTGAATAAAGTTACACCAGTTTGGTATTGGAAGTCTTGGCACATAAATAATGTACACCAGTGGAAGTGGCTTGTGGGGTAATTGATTTTACTTCCCCGTCATCTTGAATGTTTTTAGTTTTTATGTATAGGGCTTGTTTTTGTAGTTTGACTTTTTAATTAATTAATGGGGGTATTTATTTTTTAACTCCTTGTGGGTTTTACATTTTTGTCATTGAAATGATTACACTTGTTATTCATAGTGTAATATTGCTAATTTTTTTCATTTTTCCAACCCTTTTCATTTTTTCAACCCTCTTTCCATCTTCGGGGTGGATAAACACTTTAAACATCAATAGAAAACTTCCTTTAAGTTCTTTTTTTACAGAATAGCTAAATTTCACTGGTACGCTCTCACCTCCATTGGTACGCTCTCTTGAGTAACCAGCTCACAGTGATATCCAGATCAGATTTCAGCCAAACCAAAACAATCTTTTTGAAAACACGTGTACAGAAATTACCTTAAAGTGCTTAAAAATCTGCATATAGTAAGCGTCACTGATTAACTTTCAATTCCCAGTTCCCATAGTTTCCTGCTGCAACTATGCCAGTAGCATAATGTAAGTGTGATTTGTTTATGCCTCCTTCTACTTTCTTTTGAAAAGCATCTGGACTAAAACAGGTTTTTTAAAAAATTATTTATTATTTTAAAAGATACTTTAATATCCTGTCTTTCCTCTGCAAGCTCCAAATAACATGCATGGGTATCTATCTCTATCCAAATTTTCTCCCCATAGTACAGTAACAATCTTGTGAGATAGGCTAGACTGAGAAATAGTAACTAGATTGAACTCATCCAGTGAATGCCATGATCAAGTAAGGACTTGAATCTGGTCTCTCTTATTCTGGTTCCACGCCTTAAACACTATACCATACTGGCTACCATAAAATTATGATAGTATTCAGTAGAATCTATGCAATTCTAATGGATTTGTGTAGTATATTCATGCCAGAAGCTACTTAGAGGCTGTATGTGATGATTTTTAAATGGTTCTTGGTAGGTTGTGATTATACAGTGGCCACATCCTTGCCAAACAGGCTGCAGTCTACTATGAAGCCTGTGCTGCTTACGGAAATGACATTCCTCATGATGCTGTATACCCTTTAATGAACATTGTCTACTCTGTATATGAGGGCTGTGCAGTGCAGGAGCAGAAAAGTGTTTCAGAATTCATAGAGGCATACAGGCAGCACCTATCTGCAACTCCTTAAACCAAGTTTGTTTTTTGGGGGGGGATCATGCATCTCTGCCTCCACAATTTCAAAGAATTTCAAAGAAAATATTATATAGCCATTTTATTACTTTCCAAGAAAGAAAGCACTTTGACAAGCCAGCCTAGATTGAAAAAGGGGATTCATAGCAATATCATTAACTTGGCATCAACAACGCCAGATGATCCAAGAGTGCTTCCAACTACAGCATAAGCATATGTGCTAAGAAGTGTATCCCCTAGATAAAATAAAGACTTGCCTTTATTTCTGCCTTTATTTCTGTCTTGGATATTAAAATATTACTTTTTTGTAAAACCAGCTAAGAAAACTACCTACATGCATATATGATTCCTTTTCAGAGTAAGAAACTTTATGCAAAGTGCAGAAAAAGAAACAATTATCCAAAGAAAGACAGGAGTAGTGATGTACAAAACTCTTTTAATCAGGCACAAAATGGGCTGTTCTGAGTATTCTTGAAGGGTTTCAAGCTTGAAACAGCTGAGACTCAAAAGACTTGTTCACATTCAAAACATTTTGCACACTACTAGGCAGAAAACAAAGAAAAAGAAATTGTAAATATCATTGCCATAACACTGTTCATTTTCTCTCTCCATAACTTTCTATCCTTGCTTGCACTGCATCTATACGTTTATTCATTAACTGCCGTTTGTTTGTTTGTTTTTTTAAATTCTCATCTCTTTTTGTAAGGATTTCATCAAATCCTTCCAGCCATAGCTTTCTCAGTTTATCCCCTCCTCTTACCCCATTCACTCTTCTTTCATATATTTGTTTTGTGTTCCTCATTCACTACCTATATAACACCAAACCACCTCAACATAATTCTTTCATATCGGCCCCTCACTTTTGTATTCAATCCACATATATTCAGCACCATTCATTCTTGAACCTATCTTTTTGTTGCACCATGTACACTTAATTAATCCCCATTATATTCAACTTATTTTTCTGACATCTCTTCTGACATACAATATTTCCATATAACACTTCTATAGGCAGAATTGTAATTCTTAATATACAGCCCTTTCACATCTTTTGACATTCATTCCTTACAACAGACCACACAGTACCCACTATAGTTCTACCAGCATTTGCCACATTTCTCCATCCATTTTCCCATCTTTACTAAATATTCTACCAAGATACACACTCATTTCAGCAAATATTGTCCCAATTTTTCATTTTTATGTCTAACATGTAGTTATTTGCTCCATTTTTCCTATAAAAAACAATTGCTTTGGTCTTTGATCCACTGATTTTCAGATCCATACTCCTTGTTGCATTATACAATCTAATCATCTGGATTCTCAAAAAACAACATGCCATCATCTGCATGGAGAAATACACTCATGCTGATGTCCTTAACTAACCCCCTCTAACCTTACTATAACTGTTCCTTATGTATTGGTCTATACAGACATGAAGCAACCAAGGCGACATCACACATTCTTGCCTTATTCCCTGCTCAATATTGAACCATCTGCTAAACTTGCTATTTATTCCCATACGTGATTTATCTCCATTGTATACTGTGTTTATCACATTCAGCAACCGTCAACTCTGTATTTGCACATAAGTCCTGTAATTCAAACCTATTCGTTTTCTTGGATGCTTTAAAAAAAAAAAAAGTGCAATAAACTTTCTTGCTTATATACATATATTTCTCACCAACCTACTGAAGAACAAAAGTCTAGTCTGTGCAGTCCCTGCCTACCACAAAGCCACACTGTATTTTAAATGTCGCTTCTTGTATGCTATCAATTAATCAGAATTCTGCCAAATAACTTTCCAGGCATGCTTAATAAATATCCCTGTAGATCTGCACTCACTCTTATCTTTTCCTTGTGCAAATGAACAATAATGGCATCCTTCCAATTGTATGGAATTGGAAGCTTTCACACAAGCACTAAACAACTGATTCATAAGCAAAATACATCCATATTATAAGTTTTCTTAAGTTATGCCATGTATACCTGCCACCTTGACACTTTTCAACATTCTCATAATATTTATGACTTTCTTTCAGCATTTGTTTCAATTACATTTTTTAGCATATCACTAAAGTGCTTCTTCAGTATTCTCTCACTTCAGTTTCATCCCAAATAATATTACTTTTACTCTGAATTCCATTCGCTCTTCTCAAGGCTCCTTTTTAGCCATTTTCACTCACTTCCAACAAAGTCATTTTGCAATTTCAATGCTTCATTTAATATTTCCTTGCTCTTTGACTACATTCTATGGAACTATAGTTTTCTCTATATATACATTGTATGATATCCTTCTCCAGCCCTTATTTTGCAGTAATAATTCTCTTATATGCATTTTTTCTCATCCACAGTCTCTTTCACTTCATCATTCCACTAAGCATCCTTTTTCATGCTTCCCACTTGCATATTCTATTCCAAGAAGCTCCTACATCCCCCTTCCTAGCTTCTGCTTTAATCTTATTTCCAATTTATTGGGGAATTAATCTTCCTCTTGGTGGATGGTGTACCATTCTCATTCATTTTGGGGTGGTCATCTCCTCCTCCTCCTCATCTTATTCTCACCCTTCCAGAAAATCTACCATTGCCACAAGACTCTATTCTTTCAAAATGTCACACCATTTTTCATAAACCTCATCACTGATTCACCATCACCATTCACTGGTACATTACTTGCTAATATCACTGACTTATGATTTCCTAGTGCAATTATTACAATTACAATTATATTGTGCCTCCTCCTTAAGGAGCCCAGAGCAGTATACAGAGGATCCATCTACCTGTCTATAGATAAACTGCAATCAAACATAGCAAAACTGTCTTTTCCAGGAATGGGCACACAGTGGCTACCAAGTTAAAGCTGATTACAGGGACTCCTAAATACCACTACCAGTTCAAGGATTACACCCAAGTCATGAACAGAATTTTATGGTGGAAATGTAATATATTCATAATCAACTGCTTCCGCAATCATGAAACAGAGAACCACTACTTATAATTTCAGTTTCTTCATCTTCATCTAACTAATTAATGACCTCAGGAGCTTTCACAAATCAACTACATCAGTATTTGTTAGCCTTGTGCAGGATGCTCAGTCAGTTTCATGAATCAGCATGGCAACTATTTTATGGCAAATATCTCCTCAAATCTACTTCCAAACAGATCTAACTGAAACTTGATCTCTCATTCCAAGAACACAGATTATTCAGTGGAATACTGAAAACTGCTTTTACTTGTTCTTAATCACAGATAGTATATTGTAAAGCCTGTTTATACTGGTTTGCTTCAGATTTATAGTGCAACATCTGCTAACTGGAAATAATAGATAAAAATGTCTTCAGTGGCAATATTGACTTAATTATAACTATGTCTGGTACAAGCCATAAAATTATACATCTACTATTTACGTAAAAACTCACGTTCTTCTTCCTTTGGATCAAGTTGTGTGACACTGACAGATAAACGATCCACACGTTCTTGTAAGGAATTCACTCGGAAAGAAAAACTATGTGCCTCATTGAAAAGCTCACCAAAGATATCTTCTGCATATTTACCTGCAAAAGGAAGTTTTTAAAAGTAGGGTTAAAAATATGAACATGCATCGAAAGACTCAGATTGTTATATCATACTTCCATTTTAGACATATGTCATATAATAAAAATACAGGCTTAAAAAAGTCAAGTCATTAATGGAATCTATATTGGTCTGTTGCATTGAAAGTAACAGTTTTGGGGCCCTTAGACTAACACACAGGAGAAGCTTCAATAAGCCTTTTTTATTGGAGTCCTGTGCATAGTTACAGATGTAATGCCCATTAACAGCAGCTTGCCCCAGTCCTTAAGAGCTTGTATGCTTTGTTTCATGATCCAAGAAATATCCCATTTTTCTCAATAATTATCCCAGGTGTTTTCTCAGGTGTAACAGTTAAGCATCTGGTGTCTTTTCCCACTACTACAGAGCTATAGGTGTTTACAATCTGAAACATGCACAACTGCTGTGCATTATAAATGAAAGTATGTAGAAATGTTTAAATATGTATTTACAAATGAAACAAAATGGATTCCAAAACTATTCTAATCAAAAGAAAGAATAGAATGTCCACTGCAAGATTAATGCAACCAGAAGTGCCAGAATATTACCATAGTACTAAAATGGGACTGAAGTTAGTTACTCATAATTCCACAGACATAGACAAACCAACCAACCCTCCAACCACACTGAATATCTAGCAGCTTTAAATATAATTATTTTGACTAAACCGTCAAGTATATTGCTAAAGATCCAAACAGAATTGCTGAATATTTGAAACCCTATTACAGTTTCTTTTATTTGGAATGCACAAAGATTATTTCTTTTTTATTATTATTAGCCCTTTTATTAGGCTCTTTGTGTTCATCCTCTTCCTGGTGGGCTTACTTTGTTGTAAATGACTTTTAATGATTTAGTTGGAAAGAGAATATATTTCAAAATGTTAATTTTAAGGGGCATTTTTGCTTATTGCAGATCTTCCTGTTTATATACATATCATGCACACACAGAGACAGATATTTTTAAAGCCTGCTATCTCAGGGTTAAAACCCTGTACTGTAACTCTATTCTAACATACTCGATACTCAATATTTTATATGTATATGTATGTATGTATGAGTATATACACACACACACACATACACACACACAACTTATCACTAATGTCCTCATAATACTATTTCAAAAAATGCTCACACTTTCACTTGAAGAGTCCCCCAGAGAGGTAGTACTCATAATTGCAACTCTACATTGTCTTTTACTGTGCAAAATGACCAACAGATGGAATAACTAACAGGTACTAATAAAATAAAATTCTCAACTAGGAGGCAACTATAGTCTCTGTGCCATGTATGGGACAATCCTTTTAAGGGCAGTTGAATCCGGAATTTGATATCTTCTCTGTATACCTGAAACTTCAAGAACTAATGTAGTCATGATACTCAAGATGACCATGTTAGAAACTCAATGAATAATCCATGTAGTGATATATTTCTTTCACACATGCTGGTCCTTGTTTTTGTCTCTGCACAGAAAGACTTGAATTAAATCTACAAATGCTGCTTAGAATCATACTTAATGACATTTAGAAGCCTACACAAATTGGCAGAAAATTTTCAGAAATGTTAATTCAACAGCAAGAGTGAAGAATGTTCTATTCAAGCTTCACGTAAGACCATATCCATTAATCTTAACAACAATAACAACAACAAAAAGCCTATCTGTGTGCTCAAAATAGTGTAGGTCTCTTCACTAAAAGAAAGCCAACCCAGCAGTATTTTCTAGAATGCTGTCAGGCTGTAAGGTTTTGCCTGTGGAGTCCAGAATCACCATAAGCATAGTGTTTCTTAAGTACAGGTACTAGGCATGTATAAAATGTTCTAAGCTCAGAATGTTCTGGGCTCAGAATAAAATACATTTTCTGTCTAAACTCTAATAGATTTCCTGGCACAAAACTGGAAATCAAAAGGAAAAACAAATGAAATAGAAAACTTAACCAAGCTAATAGCAAACATAATACTCACAGAGCCCTAACCTTGTTTAAGGGCAACTGTGGGATTATATTTTATTTCTTTACCTCTTTTCCTTCATTTACAAATTATTTTACCATTGACGTGATGAACAAAATCATTGCTAAGGATCAGATAATCATGAAGATCAGTTAACAAAGTAGTAGAGCGAGAGAGACTGACTGACTGACTAGAATACAAACTTTTTCCTGGACTTTTAGGGAAAGAAAAAGCTACCCATTTTTCTCTAATGTGGGGAATGGCTGCTGTAGTGCGTCAAACAATGATATGGTCAATTTTAAATAACTTGCATTGTCCTAAGTACTTTTAAAATGATGCTGATATAGGACTTACACAGTAGTAGTACATTCCAAATGAGGAGGTCGAAAAATAACTTCCTATCCTCTGCCACCAGAGAGGAGAAAGCTGAAAATGAGATGCCTTCAAGGCAAGCTTAATACAGTAGCTCAAAAATCTACATACTTAAAATGCATGTATGCATGTATGTATGTATGTATTTATCAATTAATCAATCAAATTTACATAGCTGCCCATCTCACTAAACGTGACTGGGTGGCATACAACCAACAAGAGTTAAAAACGATAAAACAACCATTAAAAACAATCAAACCTAAATAAAAACCAAGGTTGTGGGAGAATAAGAACCACCTAAACACAATGCAGCCATCTGTATAAAGTATATTTATAATAAAAGCATAAAATAGGGATGACAATTTGCACAGACATCCAGATGTTGAACTGCAACTCTAGCAGGCCCAGCCAGTCACTTCCAATCCAGTAAGGGACACAGAAGTTTAAGAATATTTGATAGGCCACAGATCACATATTTTTCATCTAATGAAAATTGTATATACATTTACTGTTTATTTCTTCACAGAACACAGTCCCACCTTAAGGAGACTACAGTGAGGAAGAAAAGATCTCTGTTTGTGGGTTTCCAATATGCCACAAATTTTCTCATTATGCCCATGTAATACTTTGCAGATATAGGATTATCCTGGAAAATGCATAATGGGACCATGTCAGAGTGATCTTGTATCCACTGTTTCCAAAGTCTTCCTTCTTTCTTTCTGACCCAAGATGCCTCACCCACAACAGCTTTAGCTGTTGCAAGGAATTTCTCTCCTATTACTATGAATGAGAGAAAATTTTTTAAAAATATGCCAGAACCCTCCCCTTTGCCCACTTTTAGCCCTGGTTGGCAAGACTTTGGAAATAATAGATCACACATGTACACAACTCTGCATATTTATTTAATGCATTTCTACCTAATTCTCAAATAATTCCCAGTATTACTTAAAAACACAACCAAAAGAGCCCTGTAAGATAATCAACAAAGATAAATACAGCTTAACTAAAAGGATGGGGAGGGAAATTCATTTAACACTAAAATGACATTAAAGCTAGTGCCAGGAAAGCATACTTTCAATATTCCACAGTCAAAGTGTCAAAGTGTCAAAGTCTTTTATTCAGGAAACTTCAATTATATCTTAGACAATAGGAGAGCTTTAGAAAGTATCTAATAAAGATGTTATAGAGGGACAATGCTTTACACGTCATAACCAATGTTCTGAATTTAGTTCAGAGGGAGACCATCTGATACAGTTTTTTTCATATAATTCAATTGATTCTATCTAGCAATAATTATTGAAAATGACTAGATTCTCTGAACCACTTTCAAGAACAAGCATTGTGTAATGTATTTCAACAACATAACAGTGGATAACTAATAACAGGTTATCAGCATCTAAGCAGCTTCTCAGTCAGTGTTTCAGGTTAGGCTAGTAAAAGATCTCCATGCCAAACTAAAATATGCTGTATGCTCTCCAGTGAAAAAGTTGAAGCAAACAGCACCTTCGGATTACAATATGTTCTGTTAGGACAGTATAGAAAAACTTATTTCATGTCAAGATTCACATTCCCTTCAGCAGTAATCTGCTGGAGGCCATGTGATGGATGAGACTGAAGCAACCAGTGGGTAGAGCCATAAAGTGAGTGGAAATATCCATTTTCTCTTTAAAGAAACAATATATCTCTGAGGAATCTTTTCCAATAACCCCTGCAGGCTGCAGGCGAGGTTCAAATACTTCTTACAATGGGTCTAAGCCGATCTCTTTGAAATTAGCCTGACAGTCACACTGCGGACCTAGGAATGCAAATTTCCCATCCTTGGTTTAGATTTAAGTGTCACACAGATTTTTAAAAGAATGGAGATAAAGATGGAGTCACTTGATATCCCATAGTATAAATATCAAAGGGCCAGTAACTTTCTCGAACCAGTCAATCACATCAGATCAAAACCAATTAAGAACATTCCTAATATCAAAATATCAGTACAAAAGCTGGTGTTATTTCTAGGAATCCTTTATTAAAAAGCAATTCATATGTCCACAGGAATTAATAGGATGCTGCTAGAAAGATAGTTAAGTCTGTTGCAAATAATGAATGTTTGTCAAAAGAAGCTAAAATTGCTGTGCATAATAATGTGCTTCTCCCACTTTACTATATGGAAAAAAGAACTGGATACTTCAAAAGCAAAATATAACTTGAATGCAGTGGAAATGGGTCCTTCATAAGTGTATATAGCAAAACAAGAAGACAATGAATCAAGAATGAATAGATGTTGAATGTGGATTGAATACAAAAATGAATGAACAGTATGAAAGAACTATGTTGAACTGGCTTGTTCACATAGAGAGAATGAATGAGGTTCAAACTACAAAACAAAATGAAGGAAGATTAAAGATTAAATGGATCAAGAGCAAGATTAAAAAGATCAAGAACAAAAGGAAGACTGAGAAAGTTATGGTTGGGTGGAATTGCTGACATCACCAAAAAGAAAGGTGAGAAGTTTAAAGAACAAAAGGTGATATAGGTAGTCCCTGTTTAGTGACTGCCCTGTGGAGTGACCATTTGTAGTTACGATGGTGATGAAAAAATAACTTTGCAACCAATCCTCACATTTATGACCCTCGCAGGTCTGTAAAACAAAGGAAAGCTGAAGTAAGATCATAAGCACAGTTGCCATTTCACTTAGTGACCATTTTGCTTAATGACTAAGTTGCCAGTACCAATTGTGGTCACTAAACGACGACTGCCTGTATATAAAGTGGTATGTGGACATGACAGAAGCAAGGATGGTTTGCAAAGATAGAAAGGTATGGAAAATAGTCAACGGTGTTGGTGTATACTGGTTTAGGTATATTTTCTTTTTTTTAACCTCACGACTTTAATGTTATTGGCTTATTGTTCTTACTCTTTTCTGTGCTCTGTGTAATGTTGCTTGTCCCAAAAGGGTTATATGGTATATATATAAAGTACATAATTAATAGGTCCATACTCTCTGCATTCTCCTAGAATATGCCACCCATCAGAAAACTGATGTAGGTTTAATTCCAAAAGTCACCCGTTGGGGAAATGGGTGGCATACAAATTTAATCATAAATAAATAAATAAAACTAGGCCTGAAGGAGACTGAAATAAGTCTAGAAAATTAATCTCATTAAATATTAATTCAAAATGGCAATTATACATGCTTGAGCAACTTCCCAGGAAGAGTTTCTTGGCTGATAATTAAAATCATGATCTTTAGTCAATGTAGGTTTCTTCAGAAGTGGTTGAATCTCTCTTTCTTTTAAGACAATTAGGACACATACACACACCAGGCAAGGAAAGTATTTATCACTGCCTGGACGCAGCCAATTAAACCCTTTCTTATTTGATGTAATAAAACCAACAGGGCAAAGATCAAAGAAAGAGATGGTAGGTCGGCTTAGCCAAATATCTTATCCATGTCCTCAACTCTGAATAACTGATATTCAACTTCAGTACCAATGCAGATAGGATATTCATTCATTCATTCACTCATTCATTGACTGAACTGTCTGAATGCTTGTAACTTGGTACCAAATACGTTACCTAATGCTTCTTGAGAGTTCCTATACACCTAAAATTTCTAGTCAGATCAGACTATTAAAATTGTAGTGACTTAATGTAAGACAGTTCAGTATTTAAATGACAAAATCACTTTCCAAAGATCAGAGATCTATATTAAATTTACATTAACTGTAAAGTGTTTAGGGATGTTTCTAACAAATATCTGCCATTTGGAAACTTGCATATGGGCAGTCCCTCAAGCAGTATGGGCTTTGTATCAAATAAAGATATGCTATAGAAGCACATCACTTTTTATTGTATCTTGGAGATCTGAGATGTTCTGAAATATCAGGCAATCTTATGACACAAGCATATTTTAATACTCAATCTACTTTTCCAGCATTGTGTTTGGGAAAAAAACAGATACCCAAAAGATATATACTAAAGCAGTTTGCTTCTTAAAAAGCATAGCAAAAATAGGAAGATATGGATACCACATCTCTTTCCTGTCAGTAACATTTTATTGCTATTTATTATTTTACACTGTTAATGACAACATGCACATTTTCTAATACATATTAAACCCAAAGTTCAAAAAGCAAATATTTTATCTTTAAAAACTAAGTAAAAAGCACAAGAAAGCATAGGAAGTTCAGACCCAATCTATAACTTAAGTATGCAAAACACCTGATATAGTATTTGTAATGGAAGAGAATAGTTATCATACATTAGAAAAGCCAGCAGTGGCAAGTAAAGCCAAACTTCCTCTAGAATATTATTCCACCAAATGCGGGCTTCAATAGAGAAACAACTCCTCCTAGTTGCTCCCCTTATTTTGTGATAGTAGGGGGACTATCAGCAATTTTCCCCATACAATTTGCATCGTATGGTTGATAGTGGCTAAAAGAGGTGGCCCGGAAGGTATCTTGGTGTCAAGCCATATAGGACTTTATAAGTTAAAATCAGCACTTTAAATTGCACCCAGGCAATCAATTCAGGGTCTGAAATAATATGTCCATAGTATCTAGCCCCAGTTAACAGATAGACTGCTGTATTTTGTACTAGCTGTAGTTTCTGAATGGGGTTTTTACAGGGAGCCCTATTACAGTGCATTGCAGTCACCTAACCAAGGGGATTTATATACATTTATGAACTTCATGAATGCATCTGGGTGGCCACTACTGGACCAGATGAGCTGTTGATATGATCTACTAAAGCTCTTTCTGTGTCTTCCTCCTTTCCTCACTATTCTGTCACCTACTCTCCTCTGCTGATTAATACTATCAATGCTGCCTCCCCAGCTATCACCGTCATTCAAGATGCACTAGTCAACAAATTAAAGCTGCATCACTTAGAAACAAAGGGTTTTTTTTACTTATGTTAGCAGCCAAATGGCCCTATTAGACACTGTCTTTGGAGCACAGAACCTCTGAAAGGTTCTAAGACCTTCCCTCTCATCTCTTCAGTGCTCTCACTAGATATGGATCCCCAGGTCACCATGTGATTTTTGCCAACGTGGTAGAAAAGAGCCATATTAAAGACATCTACCTATCCTTAACTTGCTAGCCAATATACCACCTTCTTTTAATGGCTGGCTATGCAGCTTGTTGCTAACACTGCCTATCTGGCAGTGTTGCTGGGGATCCACCTGGACTACGTGTCAAGTCTGTCTCAGGGATCTCTCAGCCTTGGCTATCCTAATGAAATCACACACAAACCTAAAGCCTGCTAAATTATCTTCTATTTCCTCTGACTCTAAGTTAATGGCTGTAGGACGTCATTTACTGAGGTTCTTCAAGAGGTTATTTCTGCATTCACAGAAACGGGTGATGTGGCTGCACACAACCTTTTCCAGAACCTTCTATATAGGCGGGGCAAGCTTTTAGGCAGGAAACATTCTGGTCTGTGCTTCTGGGTGCAGTTTCTGCCATTCTCCTCGAATTCCTATTACACTGCTGGCACAGCCCAGATAGCAGGCATGCCCACTGAATGGCTGGGAAGAAAGGCAGTTGACTCATGTGCATATACATGTGATCACTTCAAGAAGCACAGTTACAGGTAAACTACCTGTTCTTCATGGTCTCTGTACACCACACATATGGATAAGTATCCAGCTTATTGACAACAAGATGGCAGTGTTGAATTAGAAGTAGATAGTCTCAATCAGGATGCAGTAATACAGAGATCAATGATATAATTTGGTAATATACAACGGAGAAAGCTAGAGCTCTTGTTGAATACAAACAAAACCCTTACATGAGACTTAACACTTGGTGGTAAGATACGAAAATTGCCTCTGGGAGCCTCTTTGAAATCTCACCCACACAAAACCTCACCAACATGTAGAACTTTTACATGCATATCAGTTGGTAACAGTTTTATTATTCCAGAATTCTATTAATCAACAGTAGCAAGTCTGACATCATTCCCACGTTAGTGGAATATAACTACAGTGGGGCAAAAAAGTATTTAGTCAGCCACCAATTGTGCAAGTTCTCCCA